GCCCTGTCTTGGAAGACGGCCCGTAGGTGCACATCCTTCCTCAACCGTTCGAGGTCGATACGGATCCGGCTGCTTCCGCTGTTTCCCCGCGTTCGTCGGTTGGGTGCGACACGGGGGGGGGGGCGGACAGTCGTATGCACCAGGTTGTGGTCAGAGTCCTTGAAATCGAGGTGTGCGGCCGTGATGATGGCGTGATGCACACTCCTATTTTTTTTGCAATACAGGGCAGATGGCAAACGGTATTTTGCTCTTCGTCCGTGATGCCGAACGATGCTTGAGTGTGATGACGATCGCTTCGGTCGCCCTAACGAAGTCAACCTGGAGTACTGCCCCACAAACGCAGCGCCCCGGTCGCTATATGCATATGGCAAGATTGACTCGAATCCGACGCCGAGGTCGTCGGGATATGGGATTTTCACTTCCTCCAGGGCGCCCAGCCATGCGCGCAGCAGTGAAGTTCACAGCAGGACAACATACGACGTGCCTGAAGCCGCCGCTACACGAAATATCATCCGTTTATTTTATGACGGTTCCCAAAAGATCTACCATGGATTACGCGGCGAGAACCCCGATGCTGGAACAAGAGCGAGTTGTCATTTTTCACAGTGACTTTCGCTTCTTGACGATAAATGAATGATTTGAATGATCTTCTACACTGCATCAATATTATTTTTCTAAGTTCATTCACATCGGTCACAAGGCTCGGATATTTGCACGCGAAAGAGCGACTGTCCACATCCAAACGCCGGAGAACGCCTGCTAAATTAAAACTCATAAAGAATATGCAGGTAGGAAAAAAAGTCCAAAGAAACCACCGAACACGTTGAAGACATATCCAACTAAGCATGCCGTACACAAAGTCCATCGTCCTTGCAGGGCAAGCTCTGAGCCTGTCAACCGGGGTACCCGCGGTGGTATCGCTTCACGGGGCTCGTACTGCGTGACAGGTGTAAGGGGAACGGAAGGACGGCCAACAAAGGGCGCATCTTTACCGCTGAATTACAAAACCATCACAACGATCCTGGGGGGGTGGATGAAAGTTATCGCACCGCTGCATCACACCTCTCACGGATGATTACTATGGAGGGGCTGACTGAAAGCGGAGAGTATTTTTCCAAAGAAATTTGGTCGCTTCCACGAACGAAGGGTTAGAACGCTACCACATACAAGCGGAATCATTGTCGACTTGGGCTGCATCTACAGGAGAGTGATGCACCCCCCCCCCCCCC